TGCTAACTAAGCACTGCTTACCTTCAAAAAGGAACATAAATTGATAGTCAAGATGGGAGAAAAAAGGCAGGCAACAATATCTCTTAGAAAAATCTCTTGCTCGAAGAACCAACTACATATATTTTACTCCCTCTCCCCTATCCCATAGCCTATGGGAAGGGGAAGAACCTTTAGTTCTGTTCCCTCTACTGAGAAGACATCGCAGTTCCACACTACACCTCTACACTATAAGCAGAAGCTGTCTAAACGCTACGTATAATACAACTTAGAGCTTACTTACTTTCTAAATATAAAGTTACGCTATTATCTAAGCAAGGATAATATAAGAGTAGACGCGCTATCTTGCTAAGATTAAGATATGCTTAAGGACGTAGAGGATAAGCATACCTTCTCTTATAAATTTACAATGCTAGTCCTAGCTTATACGCTAGACTACGTCCTAGCACTACCTATATAGACTTAAAAAACCTCCTTAGTGTTAGAAACACTACCTTAACCCCTAGACCTTCTAGCTTTAGTATAAGAACATTAGGTATAGGTAGCGTAGGATAATACTATCTACTAAGAAGTACTAGCCGCTATATAAGAAGGAAGACGATCGCTCTCTAGTATACGTAAGATTACTATCTCGCTAAGTAACTATATAATTAACTAAGAAGAATAACTCTAATAGCGTAGACGTGTGTAAGTACTAGACTTTAAACTATTACGTATAGGAGTTATCTAAGTAGCTTACCTATCTCTCCTAACTAGACATCCTAGACAAAAAGAGACCTATTAGATTATTGTATAAGAATAGTACTAGCCTTATATAAGTAATAATATACAACGCTTTATACAAAACTGCGAGCTATGCCACAAAAGCACTATCCTAGTAAGATAGAAAGTTTAGTTACTTAAAGCCTTTAATTATGCCCAGTTATACGTAGTAGCATCTTATAGTTAATTTTATTATAGGCCTTTCTAACTCTCTTAGAAATATAAACTTAATAGTAGTAAAGAACTAATTAGGGGAAGGTATTATACTAGTTTTTATAAATAAGATTAAGATAATAGACGTTGCTTAGGCTTTCGTACGAGAAGTCTACCGCTACTACAGCCTTCTATAGTCTATTACGTCTAACTATGGCCTCTAGTTCATAAGCTAACTATAGAAAAACATCTATAAGCTGCTAAATATTTAGCGGAATCTCTCTACAGCTTACTACCTACAAATAAATAAGACAATTAAATAAGCTAATAGCGATATAGAAGTAGTTATATAGATTTTTTGCAACTATAACTAAGATAATTAGGCTTAGCTTTGCCTTCTTCTAGAACTTATGCTTAACTTTTATATAAACGCCTCTATAAGTATATCCCTTTTCTTTCTCTACTATAGTTACTATAATACTCTATTTCTCTAAAAAGAAGCTATCTTAGATAACTAAGAAGTAAGCGTAGTAGCTAAAGAGATAGTACGTACAATTAGTAATACAGTAAACTAAGTAGTTTTAGCAATATTATACGCCTAATAAGAGTAAGAGAAGTAAGTAAAGTAATCTTTTAAACTATTACTTACTTATAAAGTAAGAGATTAAGTCTAGCTAGACTTAGATAATATATAAATAGCCTAGATAAGTAAAAAGCTAGACTAGAAAAGTAGAAAGTACTAAGTTGCCTATATATAGGACCCCTACTAGGTAGAACTTATAGTGCCCCAATAGACAAAATCCTTCTACGTAGACAAGCTAAGGCTAGTATCTAATAACTTCTTACTATTATAATAAATAGATAATAGCAGCCCTATAGCTATGATTATATAAGAATATAGAGAGAAAGAAGACTATTTAAAGTAGCTTATATAAGGTATTATAGATAAATAAATATAAAATAGAGAACTATAATATCTTGTTATTTAGATAGGTTACCTAGAGGGAAGTTAGGAACTAGCTATAGCACTTAAAGACATAAAGGCTCTAGACAAATAGCTTACCTAAACTTCCTTTATATAAAAATCTAATAGCTGTAACGATGTTACAAGCCCCGCCAAGTACCGGAACCACAGCGGAGTCGGATCGGGACA